GATACCCTCTAGGTGATAGTTCTTGATTACTTTTTGATAAATAATTCGTTCTTATTGCAAAATAGGAGCACTATTTATCAATCTGTAATAAAAGAATTGAGGAAATTATGTCTTTTTTAAAGACAAAAATTTTTGAGGCGAAATACCCAACAAGAAGTTTGTAAAAAAATGCAAGGTAGTTGTTGGTGCCAACGCAATTAAAGCCTCATAACACTAAAGAGATTTTTTGCAGCACGAGTTTAATGAACACAGTTCGCCACATCAGCGAATCAGAGTGTTCAGGAACAACGGCACCCTGATCATCCTTTCCACGCAAACTTCTGATCGAGGCGAATACGTCTGCGAAGTTATTACTGAAGGAGTACAGCGCACAGCGCTTTCTAAGCCTGCCACCATATCAGTTATTGGTAAGTTCCCCAAGGACTCAGTCCTTCGATTTCACCCACCGAAATTTTTCCTAATTTTCAGAGAAACTTCGGTTCGTTCCTGCTCCAGTGAACAAGAAACTGGAACTAGACAGCGTGGCCAAGATCCATTGCAAAGCCCAAGGGACCCCTCCACCAATCATCCGATGGGAGAAAAATGGCATGGCTTCGGAAAACTTCCCCGCCCATATAACCGACATGAATGGAACGTTGCACTTTAACAGAGTGACCGCCCGCGATAAGGGAAAGTACAACTGTATCGCAAGCAACAGTCAAGGCACCATAAATGCCTCAATCAGCATTGACGTAGTTGGTCAGTCTAGCAGTGACCGAAACAAACCATTTCATAAACCAATTTTAATTAAATTTCAGTGGCGCCGCGTTTCGTTGTACCTCCCAAAAGCCCGATCAATGTGAGTGAGGGCGAATCGATCATGATCGACTGTGTGGTGGAGGGAGACCCCGATCCTACCATCCAGTGGGACAAAGACCTGAAGATGAACGACTTTGACTTGACCAGGTAAATCAGTTCGACAGAGTGTCCCGCTTCAGTACAGAGGAAGCACCTTATGAGCTGAATTGTTTAAGATTCCCAGTTGGAGGAGAAGTGTTAGAGATATCGGAAAAAGCGGCTCAGAATGTTATTTTAACTGTGAATATCAAGTTTCTTTTTGTTCTTATATGATAAACATTCACGAACTTGATGTTCCCCACATTTGCTTCAAAATTTTCCATAAACATATTACTGCAAAAGATGAAAAGGGCGATCCCGATGGCCAATCGATTCCTATTTTTGTCAAAAATCTGAGGCCAAATACCCCAGACAAAAGATTTACCTCAAAATGGGCAGAAAACCTGCAACTTTTGATGCAATTTCAGGTTCAGAGTGCTAGAAAATGGCTCATTGCATATTTCCGAAGTGTACCGGGACGATCAGAACAAGTACGGATGCACAGCTGGAAATAGTGCCGGACTCAATAGAAAAGAAGTTGAACTCTTTGTAAACGGTAAGTGTTTATTTCTGAGGGTGTTTCGATTCCTCTAGAGGAGGTTTATTGATGGATGCAAAAATATCCTCCAAACTTCCGGTGTGAATGGGGTTCTTCAGTGCTAAAAGGCCAATTTTCAGTCACCCTGTTTATTAAGTTATAATAAGAGAAAAATTACAGGCCCAGAAGCGGACGCCACAGTAACTAAGGCCTTCCTAATTACCATGTCAGTAGCCGGAGCTTACATTGTCTTGGTGGTCGGCCTAATGGTTTGGTGTAAATACGTGAGAAGATCCAGGAAATTGCCAATAGCTGATGGTAAGGCACAAACTGATTTTTTTACCCGAACTGTGACCATTGTGGAGAAAATGTCTATTAAAATATTGAGAAGGCACTGAAATCTATGCCAAAACTTGTGGACCATTCATCAGAAAGAGTGAAGTCACCCCTCCAAACCTCTGAGACCGAGAATCAGTCAGTCAGTCAGTCAGACTAAATACCTCAGAAACATAATTGTAACTGCACTCATTACTCTTTATATTCTGTGCATCGAGCAAGAACATAAATTACAAGTCAAAATATACATTTTTTGACCAAAATTATACTATTGATTAGAGGTAGTAGTCAGGGGCGGATCCAGCTTTAAATTCAGGGGCGGGGGGGTTATGTAGAAAAAATATGCAAAAATACAGTCTTCCGTTGTCTATGAAATTAGAAAAATTATCGTCGTTTGTATCATTCCAAAGGGAACTAAATGGCCTTTTTAAATCGTGAACCATGGATGGGGAATTGTTGGCAGTTTTCTCAAAAAATGCTTGAATTCAAGAAGTTTCAGATTTGCTACAAAATCCACTTGAACATGACGCTGCTTTTTTCGAAGTTTCCCAAGAACCATTCGAGCCACATAATTCGTTTTGGCATCGTTGGATAGATAATTGAATAGTCGATTCAGTCGTAACAACGTTAGTGAGGAATTTCGAGTAGTTTTGCCCCAGAAAGCGAAATTTGAATATCAGACACTTGCGTGCAAGATTATGCCAAAATTTCATGCTTTCCGTCCCGTTTTTGCTCATTTCTCGGAGGCAAAATGCGCAAGAACTCTCATTTGAACATCATTCTAGACAGAAATAAATGGCCTTTTTAGAAAGTGAACCATCGATAAGGAAATGTTGGCAGTTTTCTCAAAAAATGCTTGAATTCAAGAA